GTGAAGGTTATTTTTTCCCCACAAATTGACATATTGACATTCATTACATGTCACAAATATGCTTTTTTGAATTCAAAACGTTTTTTCATTTTCTCAGTTATATTTTGTCTTATCATGTGGTGTTGCGGCTTTAGATTAAAGAAAATGTGTCAAATATGTAAGTTTTAAATTGTTGTTTATAATGATCTTGACATTGCATGTAAAAATGCCCTTTATAAAGTGGGTCTTTCATGAAAAATGTGACTCTGGCTCACATTGGTGATGCACACAGTTCTGTAATATTTGTACAACTGTTTAATATTACTTCTTGCTTACTTGTTATTGATATCTTTCCATATTTGAGGTTAATATAAAAGACTTAGAAATAATGGGGTATGTGTAAGTGAAAATTATGAATATAATACTAAAAGTGTGGGCATCACTGATATGCCTCAAAGAAAGAGAGAGAGAGAGTCACTTTTTTGGTGGATTCAGGAATGAGCAAAAATTTACTTATTGTTACTGCATCATTATATTTCATTTGCTTTCAGTCTCTAGCGCATCACGTCTCTGTGGAGCTGGATGAGGCCTATGTGGAGTTTACAGGTAATATACCATCTACAGGCCTGTTCTTGGCGGTAAACTCAATGGCTTATGTTTAAAATTTGCCTCCCCTTTCCCTACGAATCCCCCGCCCCACTCTAGCAAAGCCCTGGCACGGCCAGCAAATCTGAAAACCATGTATAAATAGTTATATCCAACTCCAGTAGTGATATTCCACTTCTTGGTTTTTCAGATATGTAAAAAAATCAAATTTGTATAGAATCTTATGAACATGTAATGTTCTTAATGATTTTTACACATACTCTGTAAGCCTCTGTTACACTACATTGTACTTTAATGATTCAGTTGCAGAAATGAGAGTTGTTAATACAAAAAATGAAGCATGAGAATGCATGAACAATCTACTAAGCCAGATGTTATATATAAAGCATTGTTTTGAGTGGTAAAGTACACCAATTTTTACTGTGTTGAACACATTTTTATTACAGATGGGATGGACTCGGTTGATAACATCACACCTGAGGGCGTGGTCACCCACATCAAGAGTGAGCCAGGAGGGGAGGACCTCGCACATTACGTCCACGATAAAGACTCTCCCTTAACTGACCAGGGGCATGACGGCTTAAACAGAAAACCTGACCAGGTGGTTGTACATGTACCTTATATAAAAACAGAACCAAGTGACTCGAGTGAGAATTATGTACACAGTGAAGACATTGAAAGTCCGGGTCTACTTGGAAGTCAAGAGACGGACCACATCAAGCACCTAGCCAGGCAGAACATCGCCTATGCACACGTGGTGTCCAGTTTTAATTTTGAACATGAATGTGTGAAGAGGGAAGAACTCGGTGAAAATGCTGACAAAGAAGAAGAACAACAACAACAACAAAGCGAACAACGAGACCATTTTACCATGCCTGTTGCGGTTATCAAGCTGGAGAAAGTGGACCTGGCATCTCCGTCAAACGGCGTCTCCAGACTGGAAGGGAATCTTGATGGAGATGCCTCAAAAAACAATTATTCAGGAACCACGTATCCGGCTGATGGCCTCGGTGTGGAGGACACAGGCTTTTACATCAGGTTGGCACCAGACAGCCAGTACGAGACTGAAACCTACTCGGTTACCGTAAATGATGGGTTTGACGGTCAACTAGAGGATGTAGTGCCCGACATGAAGCCAGACGTCTCTGACGACGCCTGGGAGCTGCATTCAGAACTCCCCCAGCCATTTCCCGTGTCTTTACACACAAATATCCACACTGGGCGGCAGCAGCAGCAAGATTTGGACCAAGACAAGACCATCTCTACAGCTGGAACCAAATTGAAAAAGACTCGTGCGAGTAGCGGTAAAAAAAGCACTGGCGGTTCTTCCCGAAAAGGTGTGAAGAGAAAAAACAGTAAATATTATGCCCATTCCTATGTCAATGGCTCCCTGGTGACTTCAGGGGCTGGAAAGAGTAAGAAAAAGAAGAGAGGACCGAAGTCCTCAGATATGTGTAAATACTGTGGGGAGTGGCTGGGGCTGTCCCAGGACAACTCGGGGGTGAAGTGCACGCGGTGCCAGTCTGTCTTCCACTGTGAGGGCAGCCTGGTGCAGCACCAGAAGTCTCACGCACCACGCACCGTCCCCAACGCTAAGGAGGACAGGCCGTACTCCTGCATTTACTGCGGCAAGCAGTTCACGCAGAAGGGAAACTGCAAGGAACACGAGCGCATTCACACGGGGGAGAAACGCTACCAGTGCCAGTACTGCGATAAGATGTTCTACACCAATAGTAAAGCCACGGTGCACGCGCGGATTCACACGGGAGAGAAACGCTTTCAGTGCAGTTACTGCGACAAAAGATTCACTGAGAGCAGCAAATGCGTTCGTCACCAAAGAATTCACACTGGGGAGAAACCGTACAAGTGTCAGTATTGTGACAAGGCGTTTTCTGTGAAGACAAATTGTTCAATTCATGAAAGGCTTCACAGGCGAGATAAACCTTTCGAGTGTCAGATATGTGGAAAACGCTTCGCACAGAACGGGAACCGTAAGGAACACGAGAAAACTCACGAGAGAAAGGAAATTAGGAAAATGAAGAAACTGATGAAGAGTAATGTAGATAAAGATTTGGACAAAATATTGCAGAAGATGAAAAAAGAGAGAGACGAAACGAAATCTAGTAGCGAATTGGATGATAAAAATGAAGAGGGTGGCGGCCCCGGATTAGAAGAGACAAGTGGGCATCTTTAGTTTTATCAGTTGAATGTAATGTATAAGTCAACATTTTATTAACAGCACCGCATTTTGTTATTGTGAGCCCAAGAACTGTAGCGTGCGACGTTAATTAATACTCCGAGGTTCTATTCCAGCAATTGCATGACTGTAAAACCACAGTTTTCTCAGCTGGCGTGAGCATTACATTTCCTCTACATGTAGAAGTGATAGTGTTAGCAAGGTGGTATTGTAAATGGCATCGTTTACATGCATGTTAAAACGAGAAAAATGATTGTTAAACACCGTGTCTCTGTTGTGTAAATATTTAAGGGTTGTATCGCTGAGGTTTACACCGGTCCATTGCTACTCTCTACCAGGGTCACAGGGACGGTTGCTTTCGTGGGATATTCACAGGTAGTTCAATGGCTAGTCCAATGAGGATTAAAAAAAAAGAGAATATAGACTGTATATGTTGATGAGAAGTACTAGTACTACATTGGTGCTTTATATTAAGGCAAACTCGAGATAAACGAAACAATTTATCAATTGAATTAAATAGGAAGCAGAGGGGAAAAGGTCCTTGAAAGGTACAGACATGAGCTTTTTCCACGGAATTCCACGTTTTTTAATTCAATTCTAAGGCGGCCCCGAGCCCCGGCTGGTTAGGTGTTGGGCCCCATGATGAATGTTCAGTTTTTTTTTTTTTTTTTTGGTGGAAACCTACGCTCATGTCTGAAGGTATATGCATATAGAAACAACGAAGTTGTAGGAAGCATTAGTCGTATTTTCGTGCACTGATACGATTTGGCTATAATTAATGAAGTATGTCAAGTGTAAAATCTTGTTTAAATGTTGGCGTATAACAGGCCCTGCTGTTTCGTGCAATATATGGAGAAAAAGTAATTCTGAGGCACTCCCGACGTCGTCTGTTAAATTAACCGTGGTCTGCCGTTGTTTTTGTCGACCTGCATTCAAATGACGTATTGGAAAAATAAAATAATGCAATCAAAAGTCTGGTCGCCATTTAGGACGGATAATAGCAGACAAACAGCGGTAATAACCTCAAATATTTGCGCCAGACAAAGTCAACCTGCTAATAAAAACAAATTTTGGTTCAAGACTTGTTTAAATAGAACACTCACTACTTATGCTGTGTGGAGCCGTCTCTCTCTTTCTCTTCCCCTCCCCTCTCTCTCCCTCGTCCCCCTCCCCCCAGGGTAGAAAGCCATGTGGCGTAAGCGTTGTTTTTACGTTAAACTGAAAATGTTCGTTTAAATCATATGTGCCGAATAGTGGGTTTGATTGGACCCCCCCCCCC